AATGGCAGCTTCACAGCTTCACTTCAGTCTGCACGTACGGGTAAAGTCTTTGCCAGCGCTAAGATTGCGTCGCATAGCGTTGAAGACAAATGGGTGCAGCACAGCTTTACCCTTGTTCCTCATCGCGCTGCCCCGGATACCAACAATACTTTCTCCCTCACTTTTGATACATCGGTTAGTAAATCGAAACATCAGACCAAACGACTAGCTGACCCAGATTATATCCAGAAAGCGGAAGACGGTGCGTTGGACTTCAATCTCATTAGCCTGTTCCCGCCTACCTGGAACAACCGTCCGAATGGACTCCGGAGAGATCTGATGCAAGCAATGAAGGACTTTGGACCGGTAAGAATTATTGTGTATCTTGTGACGCTAGTTGCTAACGACGCAGAAATTCCTACGCTTCCCCGGCGGTAACAATCTTGAAGGTGACACCATTGACGGCCGCTGGAAGTGGAACGAGACCATTGGGCCCCTTAAGGACCGTCCTGGTCGTGCCACTACGTGGGGATACCAGGAAACCGGTGGAATGGGCCTGGTCGAGTACATGGAGTGGTGTGACGATCTTGGAATCGAGCCTAGTGAGTTATTCGCTGTCACGAACATGTCAATCCTCTAACCAAGTCCAAGTCCTTGCGGTGTGGGCCGGTCTGGCGCTCAACGGCGACGTTGTCCCCGAAGACGAACTTCACGTGTATGTGCAGGACGCCCTCGATGAGCTTGAGTTCCTCACCGGCTCCGTGGAGACCAAGTATGGAGCATTGCGCGCTTCTGTTGGTCATCCCGAACCCTGGGTCATCAGATATGTCGAAGTTGGCAACGAGGATAACCTGAACAACGGAATAGCCTCCTACACATCTTACCGGTTCAAAGCTTTCTATGATGCGATCAAGGCCAAGTACCCTGACATTACTGTCCTGGCGTCGACCATTGATATGACCCTCCCTGGTGACGCTGGTGGTGACTACCATTTGTACGATATTCCCGACAATTTTATCACTCGCTTCGGCTTCTTCGACAACATGTCCGAGGCTCACCCAATCCTGCTTGGTAAGTATAACAAAGCCCAACCTATAGCCCTGACTAACACGTAATAGGCGAAATTGCGGCGGTGCAGTACAACGGAGCCGAAATCGACTGGGCCAACAGACACTTCTCCCTCTATCCATGGTGGATTGGAAGCGTCGCGGAAGCCGTGTTCCTTCTGGGTGCCGAAAGAAATGCTAACAAGATTATCGGAACGACCTACGTAGGTTGCCGTACTTTAGTTGAAATGACCGAAACTAACGAAATAGGCGCCCATGCTCGTGAACCTGGACAACTACGAGTGGTCCCCCACGTTCCTGGGCTTTAATGCCGACCCTGATCAGACAGCCCGCTCCACCAGCTGGCACGTTTATGATGTATGCCCTTCTCATTCGCATCTTATTCTACACCGTAATACTAATAAGCATAGCTCTTCTCTCACACCCACATGACCAACACACTCCCCACCAAATCTTCCGACAAGTATGGCCCCCTCTACTATGTCGCCGGTGTCGACAACAGCACCAACAGCCACATCTTCAAGGCGGCCGTGTACAACAGCACCGCCGACGTGCCGGTCTCGCTGACTTTTGACGGCGTCAAGGCCGGCACCGCTGCTGAACTAACCGTGCTGACTGCGCCTGACCCATTCTCCATGAACGAGGTTGGCGGTGCCAATCAGGTCCACAGCAAGGTGTCGACCCTGCGGGCTGGCAAACAAGGTGTTTTCGAATTCAGCTTGCCGAATCTGAGCGTGGCTGTTCTGAAGACCAAGGGTAATAAGTGATTGCTGCTCAGCATACTGAAAGAGGAATATATAAGGAGATCATGTGTAGATAGTGGTACTAGAAGAGATGCTCAAGGAACTTAATAAGTTGTGCCTCTGCATTGAATTACATCTCCAACCTCGGCCCATGGTAATGCCTCTTCGCATACACGAACCAATTCACCACCCCCAGGAGCAACATTACAACCAGCACAACAGAAGCATAATCTATACCCGTTAGCCTAGCCACACCCACAGCAAATGAAACCATAACGAAATTGGGAAAAGACATACTCATATTCCCCCTAGTAACCGGGAACGTCGTCGGAAACGTAAAGAAAACCGTAATCAACACCGCCCACACAACCGTCATCACATTACACACATACCCTACCACACGCGTGACCTTGAACGGCCTTGATGGCGGGAGATACTCCCGCGAACGACGGCGGTAGATGAGCAATGCTGCGGGGACAGCGAAGGAGATCTGCGCGACGATCACGGTTGTGCCTATGAAGGCGTTGAAGGCTGCATCTATCAGTTTCTAGCTCTGAAAAATCTGGCCGAAACTGTAAGTCCTGAGACATACCTGTCGTGGAGCAGACGTATACAATCCCGACAAGAAGGACGAGGAGACCGTTCAGGAGGAGGGCGTAGACGGGGACGTTGAGGGAAGGATGGACGGATGCGAGGCGGCGCGAGAAGAAGAGGGCGTTGTCCCGGGCAAAGGACCAAGTGAGTCTGGATGCTGTCTGGTGGACTGCGTTGAGGGCGATGGAGGAGACGACGACGAGGGCGGCCATGAAGATTGTGGCGGCTGTTGGGGAGCGGGAGGCCTTTTCCCAGATGAAGTAGATGGGGAATCTAGACGGAGTGAGTGGCTGTGGCTGTGATTATGCAGGAAAAGGGGAGCGACGCACCCTGTTGGCGAGGACAGGGATGACTCCACGTCGCGGTAGCTGTAGATGGTAGCAATGGAAAAAGGGAACGCGGTGAGAAAGCCGACTACGACGGTTACCAGCACGGCCTTGGGGACGATACGCTCCGGCTCGAGACACTCTTCTGCTAGGTGGAGGGTGGCGTCGAGACCGGAGAGCATGAACTGCGGCGTGGAGAGGCCGGTCAGGAAGGAGATGCCGTTGGGCCAGCCGCCGGAGCCGTTGGTGAACTGCGTCCAGATGGCGAAGGAGTCGACCTCGGTGTGGGAGCGGGCGGGACAGGTGACGGTGATGGCGAGGAAGGTTCCGAGGGAGAGGAGAACTGTTGGATGCGATGTCAGTATGCAAAAGTATATTCCACGAATGGCGAGGTGAGAAGGGAGGGGAACTTACAGCCTGCATTATAGACCCAGAGGGTTCTGTTGGTGAGAAAGATGTTGTAGACAACCATGACGATGTTAAAGAGCTGATACACCAGGAAGTAATGCCACGCCTGAGGCACATACTCTGGCTGCCAGCGAATAACCACCGCCATCAGCGCCTGTGTCGAAGCCACTGCGATCGACGCCGCGAGTGTGATCCACGAGAACACGGCCGCAAGACCACTAAAGTACGACAGACTGCGGCTCCATCGCTCAGACGCCAGAATGGAGGTGAAATGGTACTGTCCGCCTGCCGTGGGATAGACGCTGGCCAGCTCCGCCAGTGTGACGCCCGTGCACAGCATGGCAACAGTGACGGCGACGATGCCGTAGAGCAACGACACCGCGCCTCCAGACTGTACGGCAATAGCAAAGCTGGTGGCGATGGCGACCCAGCTGTTGGAGATGTTGTAGCCCACGGCGATGATGCTGAGGATGCTGAACTTGCGCTTCATGGGCATGTCCGGCAGGCCCATGATGACCTGGCCGGTGGCCAGTTCGATTTCCGGGGGTCCATTGTCGAGTGGTTTGGAATACGAGGCTGTTCTTTTGCTTTCTGTCTCCATAGTCAATTGGAAGATGCAATATGGAGCGTGGTGTGAGCCCTTGGCGAGGAGACCAGCTACTTCTATATGGACTACGAGTTACACTTCCCCAGACAGCCCCTCAAACCTCCACATCCTTGATTCATAACCTGACAGGATAGCCGCATACACTAGGATGAGTTGCAGTGAAAAAGATAATCTCACCCTTACTGACATCTCATGATGAATGGCTGATTCCACTTGCCCAGGTCAGATAGCCAGCAGAACTATGTCGGAACGCGCTATCGAATTCCGAGCCTGTTATCAACACTATCTCCAACAAGCCGTGCCTACCGCGCATCAGGCAAGAACGACTGCATTGGGCGGAAGGAAGCGGAATTCAGCCACTCGCCTGAAAAAAGATTGTCGGCGATTTTGCGGGGGAGCGTAATAGATAGCGAATTCGGACGACGATTACTGGCTCAACGACAACTGAAGGCCGCACAAAAGCCAATTTCCCCGCAAATCAGGGCTGGTCCATGGCGTCGATATCGATGGTCAAGTCAGCCGTGGCTATGGTCGCCCGGATTTAGCGTCAGGGTTACGGTTTGGTTCCGAGTTTCCATCCCAATTGACCCGTAGGCTGGCTATTCAAGAGAGCTAGCTAATGCGGAGGAGTGAACGCTGTTTGATAAACTGTGGGAAGCGGGTGCATGCTCTTTATCTTGAATCAATCGATATGTTGGTCGCCCAGCTGTGTGGATACTTGGGATGTATATACAAGCATGATCGTTCGTTCCGCCGCAAGACCCATCCTTATCTCGGTAGGGCTATCATGTGGACAGCGGACATATACCAATCCATCGCCTCGAGATCTCCTGAGTACAGACCTTTAAAATTCATCCTTTCTAGTGAAACATCAATTGAGGCCTCATCTCGGAACCAATGCGGTCATCTGCTTCAAGCTATGCGGGGTTACCGCGCCTTCGGGATTGCTCCGCACAGCGGAATCGAACCTTTTCGCCCTAATCTCACCTTTGAGATGCGTAAAATGTCTTTCACTCGAGCTTGTGAACAATTGTATTCCATAGTCACGGCAACTAACCTCATACATGGTTACAAATGCAGATATCTTCTCTTCACACCCGAATGGATCCTCCACCTTGCCACCTTGCCCTCCACCTTTGCTCCCCCATCCAACGAAGCTTCAACTAGTCGACGGCGTACTGCAGAACCAGAACCTACCTTTCCTCGTGCATTGTCTGTAACATATAATAGTTCGAGGTAGAGCATCACTCGTTCTACCCCGGAGGACGCTGAAGGCTCATGCGGAGCCCCGGTGCAACCCCTTACCTTTGGAAAACAACGCAGCAATGGTCGCAAGAAGTGCGAAGCCAGCAGACGCAGCAAAGGACAATCTGATACCTCTGTAGTAAACCAGTCGCGCAGCCATCTGAATGTCAGGGGGCAGGTCCTGTATGGCGGAAACGGAGTGTCGAATCTGCTCGATAATCTAGCACAACATCAATTGCGAGGGTCAGCCAATGTTTCATCTCACACTGATGCTCCATTTGAGGGATGTTACTTTCCATTTGTCTGGTATTCCACTCAAGGCCTTCGAAAGGCCTGAGCGTAATGTATTCTGAATAATGGCTGAGGTGATGGCAACGCCCCAGACAGTCCCTAGAGACCGAATTAGGTAGACAGTGGATGCAGATACCGCATGATCTAATGGAAGCCATGAGCCCGGAAGTTCCGATAACGTAGAGCCCCCAGCTTACCGGTGTGGTCAAATGCAGCCAGAAACGTAAACAAGATTCCGGGGTAGACGATCCCCTGGCCAAGACTGGCTGGAATCACGTAGGTGAGGTATTTCCACCCAGCATCGTGGAATTTGATAGACATCACGAGCAGATTTCCAATGCACATCAGTAAGCACCCTGCACGCACAAGGTATGCCAATCTGCCCCAGCGGGACATGACGACACCAGAGATCAGGCTGCCAATGGGAGCGGCCAAGGAAGGAATAGCGAGTCTTGCCCCGGCTTTGGTAGGCGTGTCTAACAGTATCACCTGAAATAAGAGCGGGAGGGTGAAGAGAAACTGTCTCTGGTAAGCTGTAGCCTAGATAAAGCCGATAGGAGAAGTCCGCTCACTGCATACGCAGCCATTCCAACACAGACATTGGCAATTTGAGTGGATACAGGCATGGCCCCACGGAGCATTCTTGACGGGATCAAAGGAATTGCCGGCGTCTTCTCTTCGACGAGCACGAACAAGCCCAAAAGGAGCAAGCTAGCCACGAGTGAGAGGATGACCCAAATGCTCGACCATGGAAGCTCATTTCCACCCAGACTCAGGCCAACAAGCTGGCTTGAAAGGCCAAGAATGAGCAGCAAAGCTCCTGATAGATCGACATGTCGCAGTACCGCCCGAAAACCCTGCCCTTGTCCAAAAGTTTGGTTATGCCGCGGAAGATGCAGAACAAGATGTCCTGTAATCAATGCGAATAGCCCTACAGGCACCTGCACCAGAAAGCACCATCTCCATCCAACCGTATCAACAATCGAGCCACCAAACGACGCACCACAGATGGAGCCGAAGCCATGCATGCCGTTTTGCAGAGCTTGATACATACCCCGACGTCTGAACGGGATGAGGTCGGAGTTGACAATTGTAGCTGGACCGTGTGAGTGCGGCCCTCCAGCTCGAGAAGATGCGACTTACCCATAGTCATTAGACCACCGCCGCCAATTCCCGTCAACGCCCGCATCGTATTCAGGAAGACAATATCGTCGGCAATACCACAACCCAAACAACCAATAACGAACGTAATGGTGGCGGTGAAAAAGGACACTCTCCTGCCAAATATATCGGAAAAGCGACCGTACAGAGGCTGAAAGGCGGTGCTAGTGATAAGGTAAGAGGTTGTGAGCCACGACGCAGTGTTGGCGGCGTTGAATTCCGAGCTAATCACCGCGTACGTCGAGGCCGTGATGGTGCCATCGAATCCAGAGAGAAAGACATTCGACATGATAGCTGACAATGACAGTGAGTTCCACTCCAGTGGTTTCTCGCGATGTACTTACCGATCTGGACCCAAAGAAATCCTTTGGGTGGTAACCAGATTTCATCCGTCGAGTCCAGCAGCGGTCGCTCCTCGTACAGGGCAGACAGGGTTGATTCAACATCATCTGAATGATCTAACACGGTTGCACTGCCTGCGGCTGAACATGCGGGAGATGACATGACGAGAATCAGCAGGTGCTGCGACCCAGGAAATAAATGCAGTGTGTGGGCGGGAGGCCGACAGGATATGTTCTCAAAGCACTCGTGTCCGATTGAAACGACAAAGAGTCTCGATGTCGTCAAGCTCGAGTTAAATATCATCCCTTTGAAAAGACAAAGGACTATTTGAATAGTTTTGAGCCCATTGGTATCGATAAGCACAGAATCGTGCTCCACTATTGAGCCATGTTGCCAAGATCGCTTAATGTTGATCCTCGTCGGACTCTCGAAAAGGAAAAGAGCTGCAGTTCTCAGAAGATGTCCAAAATTTTCAGGGAATAGTCACGGCGGGCTTTGTTATCAAAAGTATGTAGTATCGCTACAATGCATTAGTTACTCGATCTGACTGTATGCAGAAAAAGCTGAAAACAGCCGGACACAGTTCAAATAAGAAGTAATTCCGATCCCGCGCTAGCCATATCAGCGAGCACCGAGGACTGAATGAAAAAGGGACATTGCTGAATGAAGGAGCTGAGATCGACTCCTGCTGGTCCAACATACTGGCAACACTCCACGACACTATGTTGTTCTCCTCAACATCAGACCAATTACCCTCATGTCTTTAACCAGCAGCTATATATGTATTGCTCCAACAGATCCGCAATCGTCGCTGATATTCCCTGTATGGAGTAGACTTATCAGTATTCGGTCATCCAGACAAGCCTATCGCCTAAAGAGGTTAGTACGTACGTTTAGGACAAGAGCTCGGGTGAATTTTGCGAATACGCAGACAATACGAAGCCAATCAGCAGTCACGGAGAATTCGCCACCGACTACAGCCCGGAGCAATAATTGCCGTTTTGGTGGCCTAGCCCTGTCCTTGGTCCAGGATCATGATCGAATATCCGATCTTCATCTTTTGCCTAAGCGCCATTGCTCGGAGAGAAATGGATTTACATGTGCTTCAGCTTGTGCATGATTACCTAGTTGTCTATAGTTTCCGTACTGCTGAGCAGTTATTCCCCAGGCTCCAAGTTCGAATTCAAAGTTCCTGATAACCAGCTACCCCAGAAATCGTTGACGTTCCGGGACCCCACTACTTTAGATCCCGTCATAATGTGCAATGGAGAAACCGGGGTTGACCGAACCCACATGATCCATGTTCGATTTGCTGACTTGCCAAGATGATTACCACTGAATGGCAGGGGGCCAGTGGCCTGACTGTCATGGAGTCATCGCTGTGATGCTGGTGATACCTTAGCAAGGAGGGGCCTGACCATCCAGAGTAGGGCCAGGGTCGCGTATCCGGGTTCGCTTACATCTTATTCCTTGAATTTGCTTTCTCGTCGGATTCCGTTCTGTTTATGCTACCCGAGCTCGGATATCTTTGTATCCGCTCTCCGTGCGCGGGTTATGGTTACCTTATGCTTCCTGGATGATGACATGTATGCCACCTGTTTACCTGGTTGTTTCCTGAGGATGACTTGTTTATCGTTCGCACCTTCCTTTCATTCCCCTTTCAACCATCGCTCTTGATTCTTTTCGGATTTTGACGGACGACACGCGGAATATTTTAATCCCTCATCGTCTTCTTTCTTTATTTCTTCCTGTCATGACCAGGCAGTCATCTCGGAGGTTGGTGTGAGTCTTGCAGCGATGGCGATGCAACTCTCATATCCAGCTCCTTTCGGAGCGGCGGCTGTCTCATCTAGTGCGAGTCAGGAAGTCGCAAGTACAGTCCGGCGGCAATTTACTGATGCTGAAGAGGATCGTATCGTGGAGACCCCACTAGGAGAGAAGGCAGACAGTTCAGACACGGCAGAGCCAGATTCCGAGGACGGTATTGATCAGGAAGGGCACGAAAAGATTACAGCTCTTGCGCGGAGCCTCTCGCAGATATCTCAGAGGAGTGCAGACCCAACCAACACCTTTCTCAACCCCTCCAGCGACCCCGAGCTAGACCCCAACTCCGACAAATTCAGTTCGCGCAAATGGATGAAGAATTTGTTGCACATTAAGACGCGCGATCCAGACCGTTATCCCCGTCGTACCGCAGGCGTCTCATTTCGCAACCTGAATGCCTATGGTTACGGAACGGCAGCCGACTACCAGGCCGATGTAGCCAACATGTGGCTCAAAGGGTTCGGGTGGCTTCGAAGTATTCTCGGATGTAGGAATAGGGTTCGCATTGACATCTTGCGCAATTTTGAGGGATTTGTGCGCAGCGGCGAAATGCTTGTTGTACTTGGCCGGCCAGGCAGGTAAGTTTTTTGCAGGACCCTTGACTTGAATGGAGAAGGAATGTCTCGATTGGCCCTAACTGTTCGCGTACATAGTGGATGCTCAACCTTCCTCAAGACGATTGCGGGGGAAACTCATGGCTTGTGGCTGGACGAAGGAACTCACATTCAATACGAGGGTATCTCATGGGATGAAATGCACAGTCGCTTCCGCGGCGAGGTCATCTACCAGGCAGAAACCGAAATTCATTTCCCACAGCTCACTGCAGGCGAGACTCTGCTTTTCGCCGCCCAGGCTCGAACCCCAGCAAACCGTTTCCCTGGTGTCTCTCGCGAACAACATGCAACTCATATGCGGGACGTCGTCATGACCATGCTGGGCCTAAGCCACACGATGAATACACGGATAGGGAATGAGTACATTCGAGGCGTCTCTGGAGGCGAGCGAAAGCGGGTCAGTATTGCCGAGACTATCCTCTGTGGCTGTCCCCTGCAATGCTGGGATAACAGCACCCGAGGTCTTGATAGCTCTACGGCTCTGGAATTCGTCAAGAACCTTCGCCTGTCCACGGATTATACTGGGTCAACAGCTATAGTAGCCATCTACCAGGCTAGTCAGGCCATTTACGACATATTTGACAAGGTTATTGTGCTCTATGAAGGCCGCCAGATATACTTCGGCAAAGCTAGTGATGCGAAGCGCTTCTTCATTGACATGGGGTTTGACTGCCCAGACAGGCAAACCACCGGTGACTTCTTGACATCTCTGACGAGTCCCTCCGAAAGATTGGTCCGGAAAGGGTACGAAGCCCTCGTCCCGCGCACACCGGACGAGTTTGCTGCTCGATGGAGGGAAAGCGCCGAGCGGCAACGGCTCCTGGCTGACATTGAAGCATTTGAGAACGAGTCTCCGTTGGGTGGCAGCAAATACAAGGAGTTCACTGTCTCTCGCGCAGCGGAAAAGGCCAAAGGGACCAGGGCGCCTTCGCCCTACACTCTTTCATACCCGATGCAAATTCGTCTGTGTCTCCGCCGAGGCTTTCTCCGTCTCAAAGGTGACATGAGCATGACTCTGGCAACCGTCATTGGCAATAGCATCATGGCATTCATCGTCTCCAGCGTATTCTATAACTTGGACCAAACGACCAACAGTTTCTTCTCCCGTGGTGCACTCCTCTTCTTCGCAATTCTACTGAACGCCTTTGCAAGCTCGCTTGAGATTTTGACGTTGTGGCAGCAACGGCCGATTGTAGAGAAGCACGACAAATACGCGCTGTATCATCCTTCAGCAGAAGCCATCAGTTCTATGATTGTTGACTTACCTTCCAAGTTTCTGGTTTCCATCGTGTTCAACCTTATCCTTTACTTCATGACCAATCTGCGTCGAACCCCGGGGCATTTCTTTGTCTTCTACTTGTTCTCCGTAACAATCACTCTGACCATGTCCAATATTTTTCGCTGGATCGGAGCAATCTCACGCTCGATGGCACAGGCCATGGTGCCCTCCTCTATTTTCATGATGATTCTTGTCATATACACGGGTTTCACGATTCCAGTACGGGATATGCATCCGTGGTTCAAATGGCTGAACTATTTGAATCCGATCGGTGTAAGTTTTCATCTCCTTGTCTCAAACTCTTAGAACTCAGCTAAGCAGGGGATAGTATGCATTCGAGTCTCTCATGATCAACGAGTTCAGTGACAGAAAATTCCCTTGCGCTCAATACGTGCCCGCTGGCCCGGGTTACGAGGATGTTCCTCTTAGCTCAAAAATTTGCTCTCAGAAGGGTGCCGTAGCTGGACAGGACTACGTTGACGGTGATGCATTTATCAATACTTCATATCGGTATTTCAGCTCACATCTCTGGCGGAATTATGGCATTATATTAGGTTTCTTTTTCTTCTTCCTGGCTGCCTACATCATCTGCAGCGAGCTAGTCCGTGCGAAACCCTCCAAAGGGGAAATCTTGGTTTTCCCTCGAGGGAAGATACCTGCATTTGTCAAGAAGCCTCGGCGCGATGGTGATCTGGAAGGAGCTCCGACCTCAGAGAAGCAGCATCTTGATAATGCGGGTCATGACAGCACCGCTGCAATCGTCAAGCAAACCTCGATCTTCCACTGGCAAGATGTATGCTACGACATTAAAGTCAAAGGAGAGACACGCCGAATTCTGGATCATATCGATGGGTGGGTCAAACCAGGAACTTTAACAGCATTGATGGGTGTGACTGGGGCTGGTAAAACGTCGTTGTTGGACGTCCTAGCTAATCGTGTTACCATGGGTGTGATCACCGGCGAGATGCTAGTTGACGGACGCATGAGAGACGACTCCTTTCAACGGAAGACTGGTTATGTTCAACAGCAGGACCTGCACTTGGAAACAAGTACTGTCCGCGAGGCTCTTATCTTCAGCGCTACACTCCGGCAGCCAGCGAGCACACCGCACAAGGAGAAGCTAGCCTATGTCGAGGAAGTAATCAAGATGCTAAACATGGAAGAGTACGCGGAGGCTGTTGTTGGAGTTCTTGGTGAAGGCCTTAATGTCGAGCAGAGAAAGCGATTGACGATTGGTGTTGAGCTTGCCGCCAAGCCGGCGCTGCTCTGCTTCTTTGACGAGCCCACTTCTGGTCTTGATAGCCAGACAGCCTGGTCCATTTGCACTCTCATGCGGAAACTGGCGGACCATGGGCAGGCCATTCTCTGCACCATCCATCAGCCATCGGCCATTCTGATGCAACAGTTTGATCGTCTGCTCTTCCTCGCCAAGGGCGGGAAAACGG